ATTCACTCCAGAAAAATCAACAATTGACCAGATTCATTCAATAAGACAGATTCTCGAGAAAACATTAGAATTCAATATTGAAACCCATCACCTATTCGTCGACTTCAAGGTCGCATACGACAGTGTCAAGAGAACAGTGCTATACCAATCAATGCATGAGTGTGGTATACCAGAGAAACTTAACCGACTAACGAGAATGACAATGTCTAACTTAGAAGCCACTGTTAGAATACAGGGAGAGAGTTCTAGATCCTTTGAGATAAAGGATGGACTCAGACAAGGAGATGCTCTGGCTTGCCTCCTATTTAATATTGCCTTAGAAAAGGCAGTCCAAGCTAGACGAATTAGGGATGGTGGTACTATTTACAATAGATCGATACAAGTCTTAGCATATGCTGATAACAGCATATGCTAAGGGCGTAGCAAGCGAGATGTTGAGCAATATCTCCTAGAATTGGAAACAGCTGCGAAACAGGTCGGTCTAGTCATCAACGAAGACAAAACCAAGTACATGTTGGTTACAAAGGATCCGATAGCAAATAAGAAACGAGAAACAGTCTTTGGAAGTCATACCTTTGGACGTGTTGACAACTTCACATACCTTGGGTCGCTATTGACTGCTACCAATAAAACAAGCGAAGAAATCAAAAGACGAATAAATCTTACAAATAGGGCATACTATGGACTCCAAAAGCATTTCCACTCAAGAAACATTCAAAGAAGAACTAAAATTATTATATACAAAACATTGCTGAGGCCGGTCCTCACATATGGAGCAGAAACATGGACACTAACGCAGAAAGATGAAAGACTTTTGGGAATATTTGAACGTAAAATACTCCTCAAAATATTTGGAGCTGTAAACGACCAAGGGCAGTGGCGCAGAAGATATAATTTTGAATTGTATCAGCTCTTTGATGAGCCAGATGTCATAACGTTCATTAAAACACAACGACTTAGATGGGCTGGACACATAATACGAATGTCAGAAAATACCATTGCTAAAAAGCTAACCACAGGAACACCTGTAGGAAAAAGAAGTAAAGGCCGACCACGAATTAGGTGGTTAGATGGAGTAGAAACCGACTTACGAATATTAAAAATCAGAAGATGGCAACATGTTGCCAAAAACCGAACAGAATGGCGACGAATCTTAGAGCAGGCCAAGATCCATAGAGGATTGTCGAGCCAAAGATGATGATGACATAGGAGGTACAAGAACTTCGGAGTCATGGAAAATACTGAGAGGATTGAAACAAAACTCAAAAGAAAAAATTAAATTTGGTAATATAAAGGACAAAGAACGAAAGGACTATTACAAGGAATTGTTAACAGGACAAAGACCACAATTTATTGAAAAAGAAAACCCCAGCAGATCCCCACAACAAGAAATAGAAATAACAGATAGAAAAATGAGAACGACTATAAAAGCAATCCAAAAAAAACACCGGGACCTGGAGGCATCTCACCTAAGCTTATAAAATACGGATAAAAAAAATACACTGGATGACACAATGGATATGTCATAAAGCCATAAATAAAGAACAGCTCACAAATGAATGGAGGGAGGCATATATGACATCTATATTTAAGAAAGGAGACAGAAAACGATGCGAAAACTATAGAGGAATAAGCGTAATATAATCAATAAAAAGATTATATGGGAAGATACTGCGAGAAAAGATAAAGCCAGCGATAATAGACAAAATCGAGGAGGATCAGGCAGGCTTCACAGCAGGAAGATCATGCATAGACCACATATACATACTGAAACAACTGTTGAAAAAGAAAAAAGCGAAAAATAGATATATACATTTGGCATTTGTGGACCTTAAAAAGGAGTATGATTTTGTGCCAAGGTCAGAACTGTGGGAGGCAATGTACAAATTAGAAATACAGATGGAACACATAGAAGCTACAAAAGCTCTGTATAAAGAAAATAAAGTGTTCATTAAAGTGGGAACAAGAATCATAGGAGACATTACCACAACAAAAAGGCTCCTGTAGGGTTGTTTCACATCTCCAACTATATTCAAAATATACTTAGAGAAAGCCTTGACTACATGGAAAGGAAAATGTGAAGGCATGGGAGTACCGGTACGGAACGAATACCTAAATACGTTAAGCTTTGCAGACAATCGAGTAGTGATTGCACAAGACCAGGACGACCTCAGCTACATGATAAAGAAACTACAAGAAGAATATACCAAGGCGTTGATAAGGAGGATCGAGAGACCACTGGATATTACCGTCTTTTAAAGGAATTGTTACACAAGGTTCTACAGGATGTTCTACTTAGAATGGAATAGTAGAATCATCACTACTTTGTTCCTCACTTTCACTACTTGTATTGTTTTCTGTTTCTGATACGCACTCATCACTCTCGAACATGTTCATCTTCGGTTAGTGTTCTTCGATGCGACATTATCAATATATAAACATAGACTGGAATTTAAAATGTAAATCAATGCGCTTGTCATATCAGTGTCCTACCAGCCTACCACTTATCTATCACCCCCGCGTGTCTTTCTACGTGGCATGCCCTTCTAAATGACACTGACCAACTACATTATACAATTTTGACAAGTTCTAGCTTACAGAAACTTGATTCTATTGATATACGTACCTGACTGACAAACTGTTAGAAAATATATGATATACTGCCAACTGAACATACGTACACAGATAATTTTTTACGGTCTAAATACATGGGTCACATTGACCCATGTATTTAAACGCACTACAGGTAACGTACTATTTGCAAAATAAGAATACTTTTTTGCATTAAATAGACCCGAACTAAACAGCAAGGTTAAAACTATAATATAAAATAAATAAAAATTGTAAAGTTCTCGACCATTATTGGTTACAATAACACGAAATGACGAAGAAATTGATTAAGTGGAAACCAATTGCGACATCGTTTCCAGTAAGGAAGAAGTTTAAAAGGATTATATTTTTAATATTTTTTATCTAGTTTTATATTAATAAATGATAGAATGGTACGTATGTAATATGAATATTGTTTTATTAAATCCAATAATGAAAACAAACGCAAAAAAAATTCAAAGAGTGAGATTACCAATGTTCCTTTATATTACTGTCAGATTATCATTTAGGACGGCTAAAATGTCACTGTTTTTTTTTTATATTTTCCAAAATTTGTACACGCTCACCTCCCTACTTAAATGTCAAACAATATAAACTTTTTTTGTTTTATGACCTATAATATCGTCACATTCTAATAGGTTCCCATGATGCTTTAGTCATTGTACATTTAGCATTACAGGTTCCCCTACTATTATTTTTAAAACAAAACAAACAAACAAATCATTTCAGGCTAAAACTCTGTTTGTATTGACCTTTTTGATCGTTTAGCTGCTTCTTATCATTCCCGACTTAAATAAAAAAAAATGGTGGTGGAATTTGTTTGCTCCTGCATTGAATTTGGCGGTTGTGGCAGCTTTTCGCTTTTTCCAACATGTAAATGCAAGAACAAATATAACACACCTTGAGTTTTATATAAACTTTGCCCTAGCACTTGTAAAAGTAAGATCAAGTCAAAGAAAACATATCCATCTGCCCCTGTTCTAAGCGACATAAAATTTGACGTGGATAAATCACATCCCCGAAGGCACTAACCAAGGGCATTGTGTTCTGTGTTATAAAAATACTGGACTTTAGTGCGATAAGTGTGAAAAGCGAAATCTTAATAATGAATGTTTCGACCAACATATTATACATAGTACTTTACATGTCAACGTTCCCAAAACGGAAACAACATGGTGAAGACAAACTACAGCAGGAATATTTTGTTTTATTTCTAAATCTATTAAAATATGTTAAAAAAAAAGACCTATATTATCTGTTTATTCCAAACATTTCATAAAGCCGTCATTAAAAGGTTAAATTTAATTTTCCACTTCGCTAAAGTTTTACAAGAAAAATATTTATAAATATTTAAAACCTAAAACATTTTTAATCTACTTACTTATAGCTTCAGCTTATATATTCCTTTATACCTTTATAGCTTATTTAGCTTTAGCATATAAAACATATGATATTCTCTGTTTGTTTTTTTGTATTACAAAACCAGTTTTTTAATAAAATGCGGAAATGGTGAATAAATGTTCTTTGTTCTCTATAATATGACAATATTCCAAAAAAATGTAATTCTACGTAAATCCCTGTAAATACAAATAGATTCCAAAAGAAAAAATGTACGTAAATTAGAAATACAAAAAATGACACATATTGGATTTTTAAAATATATCATAGTAGAGGAGCCTAAGCAAGGATTTTGCTCGTTATATGTGGAGAAATCTGGTACCCTATATGGTACCCTTACCATATATGAAACCTTTAAGCGCGTCAGATTAAGACAAGGCAAGTTAAGGATATTAAGAACAATGTATATTTCAATAATCCACTATATTGATAACCCCCGATTTAAGCGTGGCGTAAAGAAAAGAGCGAGTCACAAATTTGTAAAAAAACGTTATATAAACGAAAAATTATAATCTGACGACTTTTATGGGACGATGATGTAGCTAAAACCATAAAGTGTCAAGCATACAGCTGCTGAAAACTGTATTTTCCTGTCTCACGCTTCCTTTATCTCTGATACTCTCGGGCCATCCCCATACTATCATATGTCGCTATCGCTATGATGCGATCTCAGTTGAACACGACGCTGTGATTTGTTTGTTGTGTCTTAAAACTTCTTATTCTTAGGGTGCCTGTCCGTTTCAAACGTTGGCGATCATTATGGCTATGACGATTTTGTTGGTTGCTATACGAAATAGTTGTGTTGAGGTGATTTTATACCATGCTCTCAGATTAGCAAGCCAGGATGTTCTTTTTCGTCCTGGTGCTCTTTTTCCTTCAATTTGACGCTGCAAAATGCATTGGAGTAGCTCGTATCTGCCTTAAATTCTCATTATGTCCCAAGAACTCCAGCTTACGGCTCTTTACGATGTTGACCAACTCCGCGGTTGTGTTCATGCTCCGCAGTACTTCTTCATTGATGACTTTGTCTGTCCATGGTATCTTCATGATTTTTGTGTATTACCGTACATCAAAAGACTGAAGTTTTGATAGAGTTTCCGCCTTTATTTAACATTTAAGGAGCCTTATTTTTGTTTTTAGGGTGAGGTCATGGCTTTTGAACACAGAGCTAACAGTCAAGAATAAACTTTTGGACTTTATGATGCGACATTTAATCTCTTGGGTATTGTCCCACGACTCATTGATTATCGTTCCCAAGTAATTGTATTGTGACGCAAGTTCAATTCTCAATTGATTCACATACAAATTTGCTCCAGTTACGTTTTTCTTGCTGATGATCATTAGCTTGGTTTTGGTGGTGTTTATATCCAGTTTATATGTTCTACTTGTTTCCGTTATTCTGTTCATTAAGTTTTGCAGTCCGTCTATGGTATTGGAACACACTATTGTATCATCTGCATACCGCAGGTTTTTGAGCGTCTTAAAACAATTTTGTGAATTATGTACAAGTTTTATATGCATTACAATAATGTGTAAGGTAGGTGTAATATGTATACTTTATGGAGACGAAACGTGTGAAAAACTTAAATTATACCATAAACTTTAAAAAAACGTATAACTATTTTGGAGTATCATAAAGTGAAACCGATTCTAACAAAATCTAGCAACGCTTATGCTGAGGTAAAAATTTCTAATAAAACATCTTTAAAAGATGGCAATCATGCTCAGTTATACAAAGTTTTTACAGAAATTAAAATATCGTCTGATTTTCAAGAATAAAAACTCCACTGTTACCATCAGTACTTCTGATACAGATATAGTGGTAATTATGCTTGCTAACATATATATTAAAGCATCGTAAATTATTAATTAAAAAATTATATTATTATTATCATTATAATAATTATTGTATAATATATAGTTATTATTATAACAAGTTCGGTAAAAATCTGAATGGATCTTGTTAATTATCTTGGTAATTCACGCCGATTTATCGACATTTTCGCTCTTTCTGCTCAATTAGGCCTACTTGTTTCACAAGCACTATCAGCTCTGTATGCCCTACCAGGATGTGATTGCAATCCAGATTTTTACGGATGAGACTGAAGGCCTTATGATATTTTGATAGGATGTGCTACTTTTTAAAAAGCATTTGTACGGACAAAAAACTAACTAATGTCAACCACGTTAGGGTAGAAATATTCAATATAACCAATAAAGTGTCTGACACGTCTCATCACTTTCTCTCACCACCGACACTTCCTCAATAAATGTGCGGCAACATTTATTGCAAACTTAATATGTCGCATGCTTGTGGAGATACTTGCACTATAGTATCATTACTGAGATATCACTAACAAACTGGGCACGGAAAATTAGAACCGACTTGGTTCGTTGTTAACCAACTTTCAAAGGCATACAAAGATATCGTCCTAACGCCTGACATTTTAGAAGATACTTTACATCCAGGTACGTTTTTCTCTTAATACTATATTATACAATAAATAAAAAATTCTAAAGTTTATGACCATTATGCTTACAGAAACACGAAATGACAACGAAATTGACCAAGTGGAAATCAATTGCGAAGACGAATCCAGTGAGGAAGAAGATTAGTATCCTCCTCCTCCTAAGTGTCTTTTCTATTGAGGTTGGCGATCAATATGGCAAATTTCTCTCTGTTCTGGGCTTGATGGATTAAGTCATTTCCTGTTGTGTGAGTCCAATCTCTGATGTTTCGGAGCCAGGATTTCTTCTTTCTTCCTATACCCCTTTTACCCTCGATTTTGCCTTCTAATATTACCTGGAGCTGCTCAAATTTCTTATGGCGCATTATGTGTCCTAGATATGACGTCTTTTTAATTTTGATTGTATTAACCAGGTGAGGTCGTGTGTTCATTATTTCCAGTACCTCTTTATTTGTAGTTTTGCTGGTTTTGCTGTGTTAATGTCCAGGTCTCACAGCCATATAGTAGTGGAGATCACACATAACACTTTAGTGTTCTTAACCTTATTGTGATTGATAGCTTGGGGTTACAGAGCATTTTACGCATGTTCATGAAGCCAGATCTTGCTATTTCAATACGTCTTCTAATTTCTTTTGAGTGTTCTAGCTGACTGTTTAGCTCTCTGCCCATGTATATGAAGCTTTGGGAGCTCTGAAGGGTGATACCATTGATTTGTATGTTATGTGTAATTTGTTCATGGGGGTTCTTGTGGAATACCATGATTTTGGTTTTGGAAAGATTAATATCCAAACCTAGTCTGTGACTTTCTTCTGATAGTATGTTCATCAATAGTTTTAGTTGGTCTTCTGTTCTGCTAATACTACGGTGTCAAGATTAGTATGATTATTTTTATTTTTTTTTATCTAGTTTTATATTAATAAATGATAGAATGGTACATATACAATATGTATATTGTTTTAATAAATCCAATCATGAAGACAAAAACAAGAAAAGATTCAAATGGTAAGATTACCAATGTTCCTTTATATAATTGTCAGATTATCATTTAGGACATCATGTTAAACCGTCTGTTTAAAATGTGACTGTTTTTTTTTACATTTTCCAAAATTTGTACACGCTTACCTTCCCACTAAAACGGCAAACAATATAAACTTTTTTTCGTTTTATGACCTATCATTCATTAGGTTCCCATGATGCTTCAGTCACTGTTAATTTCGCATCACAGGTTCCCCTACTATTATTTTTAAAACAATAAAACAATCAAACAAATCATTTCAGGCTAAAAATCTGTTTGTACTAAATTTTTATAAAGGTTTTGTTTTTTAGCAAAATGGGATTATGTACAAAATTTCTCTAATGAATTTTGATACGTTTTGTGAAATATTATACAAAGTTCAAAGGTTCAACTAACATAAAAGTATTTATTGAACATTTTAAATTTACATTGTTATACAAAGTGATTCATGTACAGCATGTTAATATTGTGTGCCTAATCTGAAATTGCACTGAGAAAATAATACTCTAAAAATAATTCACTGGGGAACAATTTGAAACTTTTTTTTTATTGGCTTTGGCTTGAAACCTTTAGCCACGTAATTACATATAAATATTAGTATTCATTCATACAGGATTGTACAAGGAGGACACTTTTCACGCTCAGGGATTCATCAGAGCGGCTTTATTGTAACAAACAAGACATAAACCACGGTTAGATAGGTGGGCAACATATATGGTAAACATACAAAGGAAATGTTCAAGCATACGAATTTTACACTCATACCTTTAATTTAATTTTTACAGGAAATATCATTATTATTTTAAAGATTTTTATATTGTTTTCACTTAATAGGAGATTTACGTTTAATGGTGTACTTAATCCCTCTTTTATCAATTCTTTTATCAGCCACGTGCTTGTATTACGATGTAGTGGGCAGTTGAAGAATATGTGATTTAAATCAGCTATACTAGTTCCACACTCACATCGGTCTGTTGGGAGAACTCCTATTTTGTGTAGATGTTTCGGAAAACATCCATGATCTACTTTTAATCTTAAGACAGTTGACACTGTGTTTCTGCTTAGTGTAACATCTACTGTGGGTTGTAATTTGTATAAATTAGTGCCCCTGCTTTCACCACACTGAATCCATTGTCTGTCCCATTTAAATTTAATATGTTGTTTGATATAGGCAAGTAGGTCACATGTGTTAAATTCTTTTATCACCATATGTGTTAAATTCTTCTATCACCATATGTGGGTGCTGTAATGGATTTTTAGCTGTAGAATCAGCAATAGTATTGCCAACAATATCTGAGTGTCCCTTGACCCATAGAAATTTAGTACCATATGGATCTGATAGTTTTAGTAACTGTTGAAAAATTTCTAATATGAATATATTGCTATTGATTGTGAATTTAAAGTTTTGTAAGGAGTGCAATACTGACAGTGAATCACTGCATATGATAATTTTGTTCCACTGGTTTTCACAGCACAATTCAAGGGCTTTGTATATAGCACACGCTTCAGCAGAAAAAATGCTGGATTGATTATTTAAAATAAATGATTTCTTAATCTTCATTTTTGGTACAAAGTAAGCACTGGTTGTACATGTTGGTGATTTTGACCCGTCTGTATAGATCACAATATGATGTGAATAGCCACTTAAGATTTCTTTAAGAGTAGTGTAGCAGAATTCGTTTTGGTATTTTGGGATAATAATATTTGTAGCTAGAACACTTGTTAGATGTGGTATATCCAACGATTCCCAAATAAGATTACAAGGAGAATTTATTAACTTCAGTTCGTTGCAAGTTATAATTGCTCTTGCAAGTGGTGGAGAGTTTTTTTTAACGAAGTATGTAGATGTTAAATCAGCTGTATTTAATTCATTAATTATTTTTGCATTATCAGTGCCACGATAATGTTGGTTTAGGAAATATTTGCTTGCCAGATATTCTCTGCGTAATGAGAGTGGATTTTCAGATGCTAGAGCTAGGGTAGCTTCATTTGGAGTGCTTTTCATCAATCCTAACACAATCCTTAGAGCTTTAAATTGAATTCTATCAAGTGTACGTAAATTGGTTATGCTAGCTGACCCATATACCACACAACAGTAATCTATTATAGATCTTATATAGGCTCGATAAAAATTCAATGCAATGTTTTGATCTGCACCCCACGATCTCTTAAACACCATTTTTAAGAAAATTAATACCTTCTTCGCAGCGACCAATTGTATAATTAATATGTTGAGTCCAAAGCAGTTTTCTGTCAAGTATGACACCAAGATATCTAAATTCCGAAACAATTGGAATATCATTGCCATGTAAGGTTACCTACTTAAAGTAAAGTGACCTACTTAGTGTGTCTGAACTAAAACGTTTCCTTAAGGCTCCCTCTGCTCCTACACGTCGTAAGTGCGAAAACAGGTCCGATTCGTTTTGTTATATATGTGGCAGTTTTACCATTTCCAATCAAAGGACAAACATCAGTACATTCGTTACACAAGCATATTTTGCCTATTTAAAAGTAATACTTGGTGATCAAGATAAAGCATGGGCACCTCATAAAGTGTGTAAACAGTGTGTTGAAAGTTTATGAATGTGGACCAAGGGAACATGTGCTAAACTTCCATTTAGTATACCTATGATTTGGCGCGAGCCCAAAGATCATTCAAGTGATTATTACTTTTATATAGTGAAAACATCAGGATATAACAAGAAAAACAATTATAAGATAGAGTATCCTAATTTACCGTCAGCTATACGCCCAGTGCCGCATTTAGCCGAAATCTTCGTGCCATGAATTTCCCTCTTTGGAAGAAGGGAATACGGCTATGGTGTAAATGAAAGCGACTCCAACGATAAATATTTCGAAATTGAAGATGACCCCGTACGTAAGGGATCCGAGCAGCAAGAGCTAAATGATTTGGTACGAGATTTG